CTGTTCTGTTTACTGGTAGAGGGAGGAGCAGTAACTTGCACACCAGGAGAAGAATTAAATCGTTTACACAGAATACATTTTCTTAAGATATTTTTAACAGTTTGTCTTCCTTTAATTATCCAGTATCTTTCGCGTATTTCTATCAAAGTTTCAGAAATTCCACCGAGAAACACTTTGCTGTGTGCATCCCACACTAATAAATTCACAAATTGATGTTTTGAGGGCATAATAATTGGGTGTCTTTGAAGGTAAGAAAGTCTTGACTTCTGAAGTCTTCCACCAGCATGCATTATCCTGTCATTATTAAGAAAGGGATTCAGTTCTAGAATAGAGGAAGTCTTAGAAATTGTTTTACCCTGTCTCAAAGAGGACAGCTATTCCGCAAAAGCTTCACTGTGAACAGTTTTTGTCCAGATTAATTTCAGTCTCGTTAAGTTCTTCAGTGCTTAGTTCACCACATCGTTTAGTTTTAAATTTAAGGTTGTATATAAATCCAACTTCTATCCAACTTGTAACACGGTATAAATTTATATCTATTCAAATCCATTAAATGTGTCAAATTCGATTTCACTTCGCACACAAAAGACGATACTTCTTCCAATTTACTTCTTTTTTCGCAATATACTTCTGGAGAAATCTCTACACAAATTTCATAATTAGAGCCTTTTGGCCAATCCCTTTTCTTCAACCGAAGCCATTCTGGACCTTGCATTCAAATCGAACTGGACATAAACTTTTCCACGGTAGCTCCTCGAGATATGAAATCTGCAGGATTATCCTGCCCACTACAGTGATTCCAATCAGCGTAAATCAGGTGAAACACGGAGGTCATCATCCCTTTCAGTGATTCCAATCAGCAGGATCAGTTCTAGACTGGATTTCGGATACACGGTTCGATACAAAAGGTTTCCATTTTGAAGCTTTCCTTTTAATCCAATGAAGAGCGATTAAGGAATCTGTCCACATATATACCCTAGGACACAGGAAATTTAAAATTTGTTTTTAAATATTGGAAAAGTCTAGAAGCAATAACAGCTCCCATAAGGTTCAAGCCTTCAGTAATGTCAACCTTTTAAGCGGTGCGATTCTAGATTCCGCAGTGATAAAACTTGTATAAATACAATCGTCACTTGACACGTAACGGAAGTACGCAACTGCTCCGAAAGCTTTCGGGAGAAGCGTCAGAAAATATGTGTAGTTCTAATTCTTTCACCATCTTCCATGGTATGGAGAAATATTTTCTTTCGATTGTCAAATATTTAAACAGATAAATCTGAGAGCACCAATTATCCCATTTTTTCTCAAGTCAGTTGATAGCTCATCATCCCATCCTAAACCAAGTTCTCCATATTTCTTGCATTAATAATTTTATGAAGAACAATAAAAGGTGATGCAATTCCCATAGGATCAAATAACTTCGAAGCTGTCTGAAGTACACTACGTTTTGAATTCTTCCTATCACAGATCATGTCCAGTAGAGGTTTTGCATATCTAACTTTAAAAAATCTTTTCTTCGGTGTTCCATATTATGCCTAAAACCTTCAAAGGACGTTCTTTTAGTTTCTGTCCACATCAGACAAACCTCGTTCACTCCATAAATTTCTCAACTCATCCGAATTAATATTAAATTTTCTTAAAAATTCATGTTCGCATCTTTAAGAAAATTTTTACAGCGCTCTGTGAAAATTCTAAAGTTTTCTCTATTGTATTTGCTCCGTAAAAAAGATCATCTACATAAAGTGCCGAGTCAAGCATTTCACAAGTTTCGCTTTGTTCAAGTTTATATTTTCTAATGTGGTATTTAATAGTCGCAGCAAGGATAAATGGGCTGATGTCAGTCCAAAGGGAACGCGAGTCATTCGTAAAATTTTGTAAGTTTTTGAATCACTTTCATCTGGAAACCAGATAAAACGTAAATAGTCTCTATCCTCTTCCGCTATTCCTATGGTCAAAAATGCTCCTCCGAATGTCACAGCTGAATGCATATTCATACTCGCGAAATCGCAAGATTACATCCAAAATGTCTGAGATCCAACGGTAGTCCAGGATTCAAGCATTCATTAAGAGATTTGCACCCATATTACGTTTTTGACGATGAATCAAAAAACCAATCTGACTTTCGTAATGTCCCTATCCGAGCTTATTACACAGCTGAATTAGGCATATAATAAGAATTATATTTCTAATCTGGAAGGACGTATTCTTCATCGATATTCAATTTTAATTGCCCCTTAACTATATTCTTATATTCATTATAAACCCAATTATTTTCTTTCATTTTTACACTTAAGTTACGAAATCTTCGTTTTGCTACCGCGAAAGTTGTTAAGACAACTTTTCTGGTTTACCGTCCCAGAATAATTTAGTTGTATACATTCCATTTTCTCATATTTTAAATTACTTCCGAATTGAGAAATAAATTCCTCTTTAAATTTGGAAATCTCCACTGTGAGTATCATTTATCCCCATTGAATCTAACTGGCCAAAAACTTGCGTTAGTTTTTCATTTAATTCGGCGCAACATTCAATTTTCATAATAGAAAATATCCCGATTCGCATTTAAAATCTGATGGAGGGATTCGACCTTGAACAACCCATCCAAACAAAGTATCAATCAAATACAAAGATTTATTTAATCGCTGTTTTTCTCCCGTATGAATATCCCCAAAATACTGTGCTCCAATAAGGAGAGACAATTCATTTCCTGACGATTTACTTAAGTTTGACAACTGAATGTTCTTCCTCGAAAGTATTTGTATTAATTTGTTATGTGATACTTTAAACTGCGATCCAGAAATACAGTCAGTCAAAAGTGCTTCAATCGTTATTTTCTTGTCCGAATCACATAAATTACAAAGTGTGACGTCATACGTTTCTTGTATTGGCACTCTAGAGCCGAAAGTGTAAACAGCTAGACTTTTCTTGTCTAATTATGGGTAGTTTCATTTCTACGGCTACTTCTTTTTTCAGAAAACATCTCTGTGACGCATTATCTAACAAAATATTAATCTCTTTGCTTTTATTACTGCCTATTAATACTGCCGAGCAAATTTCAAGTAGTATGTCGCAATCATCGGATTCATTCACACATGACATTCATTCACACAGACACAACATTTAATTTATTCGCGTCGATGGTCTGACGAGACTCCAGAGCGGGGGAAGAAGAATAAACACTGGGTTGATCGCAAATCAATTCGTGATGCATAAAACGTTTACAAATTCCACAAATAGATTTCTTTTGACACTGCTTATGTACGCGCCCCTTCGAAAAGCAAGCGTAACATATACCATATTTTCTAAGAATTAATTTTCTCTGTTCTACCGATAAAGGACAAGAGGTAGAATCGTGTTCTATTTTCGGTTTTGTACATAATATACATTTTTTCACATCAACAATAAATGCAGTAGTAGTAGGAATGTTCGAATTTTAATTTATTTTTCCCCTTACATTCAATTTTAGTTTTTTAAATCTCCCATACTTTTCATTAGGTTTTTGTAAAGGATTAAATTTAGTTTCCAATCGTGAATCTGAAGTGTTTAATTGTAAATACGAGTACTAAGTCTCTACTTAAGTACTCGTTACGTTCACGACATTCAATTTCAATCTTTAAAAATTTCAATAAATCAGATGTTTTGTTTTCATCTTCCGAATGTGTTTTACGAGAAAATTCTAAGGACAAATCTTTGGGTATCGATTTTAACAACACTGGATACAATAGACAACTGTAACTATTAGGATTAATTCCGTTATTTTCTAATCCTCGAATATGTGTTTCGCATTCTGAATAAAGTCTACGCAACGCTACAATGTCATATGATTTTCGTACTGGACTTAAGTTTAAAAGTCTTGCCATACGCGAATCGATAATAATATCTTTTCGACCAAAACGTTCTTTTAATATGTTCAAGGCAATTTAATAGTTTTCAGAGCTTAATGCTAAACCACGTAGAGCTACCTCAGCTTTGTCTGTTAAGTACGATTTTAAATAACTAAACTTCTCTACATTACTAAGATTCACATTTTTATGGATAGCTACTTCAAACTGAGAATAAAATTCGTTAAACCTTAATATATTGCCATCGTACTGAGGTATCTGCAAGCGAGGAAGTTTTACTGTATTCTGCTTCTCACTTCTGGTTTTTACAACATTCGTTCTTTCAGTTTCGTGAACAACTTCGCTTTCTTTCATTTTCAGGATTCTATTCGCGTAGAATTTTCTAAGTAATGATATTATCTTTATATTCTTGCTGTTTTTCCAATTTCCTTTTCTATTTCTTTTGTTTTGCACAGTTTTAGAATTTCCTCGTTAAGATACTTTAAATTAGCTTCTTTATCTAAAAGTTTCGCTAAGAAGTTCATCAATTAAATCAACTGAGCTTTCCTGTTTGTTTATTTCAGTTTCTAACAGTTTCATAGTGTCATTTGCCGCGCGTCTGACAGGTGCTCTGATCCTTTTTAAAGCTTCAATATTCCATCATAACAATTTAAATTATTCAATTCGCTAAATACGTTTTTCAGTACTCAATTCGCAGTTTACTTTATCTAAAGGTCTCTGCTGGGTTATCGGCACCAAAAAAAATTTTAAATACGTATATACATTCTTTGTCGCTAAAACTCAATTTAAATCAAAATATAAAGAAATCTCACTTACCTGTCAGACCATTCTCGCCTTTTATCATTTTCTCTATATTTTATTGACGACACAATTAAATACATTTAGAATAAAGAGAGGCACATATAAACTTTGGTTAATGTTTCGCGTTGGTGTTACATCTTTCGCAATCATCAAGGTTCTGCACTAGTACAAGGAATTCAAGCGCACACAGCGCCATCTGGTGCAATACAGTTTCTACACAAGCCTTGCATTAAATATTGATGCATATAACATTGACTATTTCCTATTACAGCTCTTTTACGGAAACGTTTTATAATATGTATCAAACTTAAGGCATGCCAATTCCTCAAACGTTCTCAAATGTTTGAACTTCTACTCTAGGTTGAACCTTGCTGCTGGATGACGTATACTGTGCACAGAGATACTCAATCTACTCTAGCTATATTAGATAATTTAGACTTGGATGCTGAAAAGCCGAGCGATGAAGAGTTAGCTAGAAAGTTTGGTGTCGAAGAGGAGTATCTGGCGGGAAAGATGAGCTGCTGGCAGAGGATTAAACCGAGAATATGGCTTTTATTTGATGAACCTGCTTCTTCAATAGCAGCCAAGGTAGGTCAATTTTCTGGTGTTTTGGTATTAAAATTTACTTCCAACCGACCATGACGTATACAGAGACTGTTCGTTCATTTTTTCCGCGAATTACAGTTGCAGTTAAAAACTTCCTTCAGCCCTTTTTTTATCGCAAAGCAAAAATCATCTAAAAAATTTACGAATAGCCTCTGTGTATACCTCACACCACATATATAATTCAACTGGCCTATCCGTATGTACACATCTGAGAAAATGTTTACTGGCACTTCTAAATAATTACGTTGTTGTGCACCTGAAAAGGCATCCAAAGAATAAAGGATTTTGGTGAGAAGACAAAAGTCGAGATATAAAATAGCAATGGCATTTGGAATAATATACAAAAAAATACTTTTTTTCATACTTTTTCTAGGAAATTTCCGGTGCTTTCGTGAGTTTTCCCGGGTCTTCGGAGCCAATCTTTGTATTGTTTGTTAAATATAGTCTTTTAGGCTTGCCAGTCTGTTACATTACGCTTATTTTAATATTTTCATACTGTGACGGGTGTACGTTCCGTTGTTTAAAAATAGTGGACTGTAAATTGACTTGATATTACTTCAGTATAGAACCCAAAAAACCTCAGACTCATAACGTTGACCGAAACTTCTTTATTGACTTTCAAAGAGTAAGTTAGTTGAGGAACGGCGAAGACCACACAAACTCCGACTTCAGTGGCGGCTTACCAACCACAACTCAGAAGAACCTCTGCTTAATTGAAACTTCCAGTAATTTACAGCAACCTCAAAGCTCTAAAACGCGAGCTTTAAAAGCATAACAAATTTGCGTCTGCGCCGGCTCCTCGGTACAAAGAAAGAAATACAATTTGCCATTATTACATCGAACATACCCCCAGCCTTGAAGTCCCAAGGGGGTTCAAACAATAAATTTAAACTGTTGAACTGCATAAACCTGAAAAATAAAAATTAAAGTCTCTAAATCAGGAATTAAATGGCAAAGCGCATAGCTTTGCTATAGGTCGTTTTATTTCACCATTGGAAGTGCGTAAACTCACCACTCGAACTTTCTCACATCCAAGACCAGGATACACTTTAATAATTCTACCTAATTTCCAACGTAGCGGAGGTAGATTTTCGTTCTTAATAAGAACCATATCACCAATCTTCAGGTCTTGTTGTACCTTGCCACCACTTGGGTCTTCTGCTGCAATCTAGATAAATACTCACTGCTCCAACGATTCCAGAAATGTTGAAATAACCTTTGCACATTCCTCCAACGGTCACTGCAGCTCATGGTTTCTTGAATTTGGTTAGATTCTGGAATAGCGCTTAAAGCCGCTCCGGTTAAAAAGTGTCCTGGTGTTATCGCCTCCAAGTCGCTACAGTCACTTGAAGCTGGTACCAAAGTTCTGAAGGAAATACACAGGAGGTCATTTCGGCTGTATGAAGACACTAAACAAGGTCCGAGAGCGCTTCTTCTGGAGTTCGGCGAGAAACGATGTTGAGAAGTGGTGCCGATCTTGGGATGCTTGCGCAGCCAGGAAACGACCGATGGAACGTAGCCGAGGAAGGCTGCAGCAATACAATTGCCCTCGACATACTTGGACCTTTTCCTCGGACTACGGACGGCAACAAATACATCCTCGTTGTCATCGATTACTTTACGAAGTGGCCCGAAGCTTACCCAGTTCCAGATCAAGAGGCTGTCAGGACAGCTGAAGTTCTGTTACAGAATTGGGTATCCAGATTTGGGACACCCTCCAGAGTCATTCCGACCAAGGCAGGAACTTCACTTCGGCTGTGTTCAAGGGACTCTGTGACGTGTTGGAAATCAAGAAAACGCAGACGACCCCGTTACTCCGCAGTCTGACGGCATGGTGGAGAGGTTTAACCATACAATCCTGAACCACTTCTCGCTCATGGTTTCCGAAAACCAAGAAGACTGAGATCGCAAGCTACCCCTGTTCCTGCTTGCTTACCGTAGTGCCGTCTACGAAAGCACCGGCTATTCTCCATCACAGATGCTCTTATCGGTCGCGATCTCCGTCTGCCAAGTGACCTGCTCTTCGGCCGCCCTCCGGATGAACATTCCTCGCCAGAGGAGTACGTGCAAGACCTTCAGGCCCGATTGGAAACAGTACACAGGTTTGCTCGAGAGCGGATCAACATCTCGATGGACAGGATGAAGAAGAGATACGACGCAAGAGCCACCGAACATCAATTCCAGGAAAACGACAAGGTTTGGCTGTGGAATCCAAATCGTCGTAAGGGTGTTTCTCCCAAACTGCAGTCGCATTGGGAGGGTCCCTATGCAATCCTCAACAGATTGAACGACGTTGTGATACGGATCCGTAATTTTCCCAATTCAAAACCTAAGGTCGTTCATTATGACATATTAGCCCCATACTATGGCCATAGTACTTAGTGCTTCTCATTCCGTAGGGTACCTACTGGTGAAGCACATAATAAATAAATATGGTAGTTCATATCTTTTACATTTATTTCACTATATGTAACTGTTTTTTTGTATTTAATTTTTATAATGCTTTGCAATCCTGGGTACCCATAATTCTTGTGCATGAGTTTTTTTACCTAGTTTCTGTGTAAATATTTGTTTCTTTAGTTATGTTATCTGTATGTTTTAAAACGTTTCAATTGTATAGAATTTGCCTTCTGGGCAAGGGTTGTACTGTCCGGGACGTGCAGTTCTTGTGAGGGGGCAGTGTTACGAAATGTACAGGGCCGGTGATATAGCTTCCTCGCAAAGCAGTTTTAGGGTTGCCATAAAAATGGCAAGGGAAGGCAGGGTTGCCACTTTGGCGATAAAATTGGCGATATACCATGGAAGGAGAGCGAACCTTCTGGGACGAATTCTTACCGGTTTAGCCCAGAATGTTCTCGAACAGAAGCCGAAAGCTATATAAACCCTGCTGGTCCGCAGTGAGTTAGTGAGTGTGCCTGGTCTAGCGAGCTGATAGTCAGTCATTGAGCAAGTGTCTCGAAATCTAGCGCCGAGTTGGTCGTCGAGTGCATCGAAGAGTCTCTTAGTGTATCGCGGTTAGTGCATCGTCGAAAGACTGTGTTAAGCTCCGGGAACGACTGAACCGAAGAGTCGAGAGCCGTGCTCTGTGTGTCGTCGAGTGCATCGCAAATTGTAGCATGGAGAGTCTCGAGAGTACGTGGAGTTCCGAGAACGAACGAGCAGAGTCGGGAGCTGTACTCTGGTGCTTTGCAGTGAAGCTGTCTCCACCGTTATTGCCTGACAGTGTGAAGGCTGTGTCGCTGATTGTTCCAGCGTGTTTATAGTAGATTTTCGACGACTGTAAAAAGTGTTATTGGAGCTGTCCTGATTAATATTGGCTAAATAAAGTGTGTTTGGATACTTCATCAAGTGTCGTCGTTATTCACTCCAAATCTATAAACCCCGTACGAACGTGAAGGAAGAAAATAACGTAACAATATTTTTAATTTATAAATTTTAAATTCATATCTCAACTGCTTCTTTTCTTATAGAAAAAGTTACAAAGATAGACATTTTTCTCTTTATGCACGTACATAAGATAAAGAAAATAGAAATATTTAATTAAATTATTCTTGTGCTTTAGCTGATTTTAAAGTAATTATTAAGAATTTTTTTAAAGGACATTAATACTATGTCATCTTAATTGGTAGTGAAAGGTTAAAGCTGGAAACATCTCAAAGTCACTGCACATGAATGTGCATTCACATAAAGAGAAACGAAAACATATATGTATACAGGCAGTTTGCTTTAATTTTTTAAATTTCTATTATGTTATAACATTCAAAATAAATTCTTGCGGGGAGAATTTAAGTAAATGAATAAGAGTATAAGTAAGACATTAGATTTAATGCACATAATAATAGAAATAAAGAATAGAACACAGATATGGATCTAACACAGAGCTAAGAAAGTTGCAGATAGGGTGAAAAAATAGTATGAGATTCGAACCCAGGACCCCAAAGTTCAAGCCAAGCCTACCTCCACGCTATCATCACACACAGGTAATTTGCAATTTTGCCTTATATATGCCACCAAGTAAATGAATTCTTAAAAATAAATTTTTTGGGTTTATTTCAGTGTGCTCGCACCAGAAGAATTCACTAGAGTTTGTTTTTCAGCTTCTTAGGGCATTTCTTACAAAAACATGATTTTAAAGTGCCATTTCGATTGAAGTTAGACGGACTGTCGCTTATATATTCCAAGTGAAAGATATGCTTACAAATATATGTTAGTCAAAAAAATATATTTATAAATAGAAAAATACAAATTTAACGTACTTTTTAATACAGTAAAATACTTTAATAGGCTATTAAATTTAATTTATAAATCACGTTATTAGGTTTTTACCTTTTTTCAAAAGGAAAAAAACTATTTATCTAATTTGATATAGTCAGACTTTCGTTTACATTAGAAGTAAATACGTATGCAGAACTAGGACTGGGAATTAATTGTCAGGACAAATTTTGCTATTTTATGGACTTCAATTATGTTTTCACCTGATTTTCTTGACAGGTATCATTGTTGTTGTATGCGGACTAGTAACTGTATCTGCAGTTTTTTAACTAAATTTAGTAGTTTGGTGACTTTTTTAGTACGTCAATTTCTCGCTATAATGTTAATTCAGAAAAAAGCATTTTGTAGAAAAACATTCTTTCCTTGATCCACGCTCATCGCTACTTCTGCCGCCATTATTTTTGGTGACAGCACCTGATTGCTCCTTTTCTACGACGTGACTTCCGCAGACGTACGGATAGAAGTTGAACTTGGTTCGATGCTTTGTGGTCCGTCATCCGTCAGCACATCACAGATGTCAATCAAAGTGAGTTCGTTCGCTGATTGAAGAAACGCGTCCACACAGCAGTATTGGAAACGAGCTTGTCTTAGTTCGTGTCCGAAGATCATATTTACACTTTCTTGTCAATAGTGGAGCTGACGCTAGCATAATTTAAACTACTACTCAGAATAAATCTAAAACTGAATACAAAACTGCATGCAGCTAATGG